CTACAATAGATTTTAGATCTATAAAGAATTTGGATCAAAATGCATTTCTCTCTGATTTAAGAGACGTTCCATGGAACAGCTCTTACATCTTTGAAAACATCGACGATATATGGTCGCATAGGTCTGGCCTGTTCAAACAAATCCTCGACGAGCATGCACCTGTGAAACGAATACAGCTTCGCAACAACCAACTGCCGTGGATCAGCCCCGACATTCGAAAGCAGATTCGAACACGAAATCGAATCTACAAGAAGTTTCGCCGTGTACCAACAGATTTGAATTGATCTAAATACAGGAAACAAAGAAACTCAGTCACAGCAACGAAGAGAAGGGCAATAAAGGATTTCTGTGCTGATATGGCCTCAACAACACCATCTATTGGTCTATTCTGTAAAAAGATGAAACCGCTCCTCCCAAATAGCAAATCGAATATCGATGGCTCTGCTGACATCCGCCTTTTGAACAATGGGCAACTAATATCTAATCCAAGCGCTGTCCTAAATGATTTCTTTGCGAGTCCGAGAATATAGGAATCAGTCTTGAATCTCACAGAAGAGGATTTTAGTGACCATCCCGACATTGCAGCAATAAAGAACAAGTCGTACCTACTTGACTTTACTTTTACGGAAATTAAAACGGAAGTCATAGTAGAAAATTTACTTAAGTTAAATGTCAAGAAAGCTACTGGCCATGATGGCCTTTCTCCGAAGATTCTGAAACTATCTACTGCAGCCCTGGCTACACCTGTAACAAATCTGTTTAATTATAGTATTCGCACAAGTGCTCTTCCAAGTGATCGGAAAACGAGTAATGTCACCCCTATCCANATATTTACCTAAGAGTTATATGTACTTGGCAGTACAACTTAATGCAAAAAAGAACACCGGTAGGTCTACAAAATTTTATTAGGATCATACCACGGCAAGAGTACACGTCCTATCAAAGGAAGCAGGCTTCAGTAATTGAAAGCTTAGCTATAAAAGCAAGCGATCAAAATGTAGAAATAGTCGGTAAAAATGGGCTGCAAATACTCACGTTTTCGCGTTCCCTACAAACGGGAAGAATGTCCTCCTCGAGTAGAAACGGCGGCCGGCAAACAGCAAAGCTAGAAATTTCAGGTCACGTGACCCTCTCTACCGTTCGCGGGAAAAAAAATACGTGGTGCTCCATCTCTCTAATGTCAAATAATACTCTGATTGTAGTCGACTTTGTTCCTTCATTTGTAGCGATCGCCCTGGCTGTTATCAACAATATTTTGTGTTTCGCGTTTGCATTCTCCATGGTGGTGGTTTCTTTTACACTTCCTGCAATTCTTGTCACATTGTTCCGCATTGTGCCCTTTTCTCAAACACTTAAAACATCTTTTATCACGTTTCAGGATTGTCTTCCGCGCGTTGATGTCGGTTACCTTGTAATATGAATATGCTTGAATCCTCTGATAATTTAAACGGCCCTAAGAAAGATCTAACCAATTTCATGGAACAATTTTGCCTAACTAACGTTATTCACGAGGCTAAGAGAACAACTAATTGTTCAAGCAGATTGCTTGACATTGTTCTAACATCACACCCTGAGAGACTGGCAACAAGCGGAAATTTACAAGTTGGGAATAGTGATCACGATTTGATTTTCGTTGTGAAGAAACAAAAGATGCCAAGACCTAAAGCGACTACAATAGATTTTAGATCTATAAAGAATTTGGATCAAAATGCATTTCTCTCTGATTTAAGAGACGTTCCATGGAACAGCTCTTACATCTTTGAAAACATCGACGATATATGGTCGCATAGGTCTGGCCTGTTCAAACAAATCCTCGACGAGCATGCACCTGTGAAACGAATACAGCTTCGCAACAACCAACTGCCGTGGATCAGCCCCGACATTCGAAAGCAGATTCGAACACGAAATCGAATCTACAAGAAGTTTCGCCGTGTACCAACAGATTTGAATTGATCTAAATACAGGAAACAAAGAAACTCAGTCACAGCAACGAAGAGAAGGGCAATAAAGGATTTCTGTGCTGATATGGCCTCAACAACACCATCTATTGGTCTATTCTGTAAAAAGATGAAACCGCTCCTCCCAAATAGCAAATCGAATATCGATGGCTCTGCTGACATCCGCCTTTTGAACAATGGGCAACTAATATCTAATCCAAGCGCTGTCCTAAATGATTTCTTTGCGAGTCCGAGAATATAGGAATCAGTCTTGAATCTCACAGAAGAGGATTTTAGTGACCATCCCGACATTGCAGCAATAAAGAACAAGTCGTACCTACTTGACTTTACTTTTACGGAAATTAAAACGGAAGTCATAGTAGAAAATTTACTTAAGTTAAATGTCAAGAAAGCTACTGGCCATGATGGCCTTTCTCCGAAGATTCTGAAACTATCTACTGCAGCCCTGGCTACACCTGTAACAAATCTGTTTAATTATAGTATTCGCACAAGTGCTCTTCCAAGTGATCGGAAAACGAGTAATGTCACCCCTATCCACAAAAAGAATAAAGTAACCAACAAGAACAATTATCGACCAATCAGTGTCCTTCCTGCAATCTCCAAACTATATTTGATAGTGTAATGTTTAATCAGCTGTATGCCTCTTTCGCACCTACACTTTCATCCAACATGTCAGGCTTCCTCAAGGGACACTCATGCGTTACGGCGCTAATCAAACTGACGGATGATTGGAGAAGCGCCCTTGACGAAAAGAAGGAGATGGGCGGTGTGGTTGCCATCGACTTGTCCAAGGCTTTTGACAGCATATGCCATAATTTACTGCTTGCAAAAGTAAAGGCTTATGGCGTTCAGGAACCGGCTCTTCAACTCTTAAGATCATATCTGCATGGCCGCAAGCAAAGGTAATATGCAACAACAAGTGCTCTAGCTGGTCACCGATACGATGTGGCGTTCCACAGGGAAGTCTCCTTAGTCCCTTACTATTTAATATCTTTATGAACGACATAAACCAAACCGTTACCGTTTCTTCCCTCCGCCTCTATGCAGACGATACAACTCAATATACGGCCAATCATAGCCCAATTGTTCTTCAACACATATTCAACCAAGACATGGGAAGACTATCTTCCTGGTTTGTCTCTAACCATCTAACTTTGATTGTTTTTTTTTTTTTTTAGATACACATTATTTCTAATTTAATCGGTGCTATTACAATTTTTTAGCTTTCTTTTATACTGTCAAACACTTTTATCATGAACCTCTGCCTCGGGGGATTGGGAGACCACCCCCTGTGTATTTTTTGACATTAAATAAATTATCCTATCTATCTATCTACCTTATCTTATTATCTTATTATCTATATATCTATACCGCCGCCCAGTTAGCCCAATGGATAGTGTGCTGGACTGTTGTGCGGGAGGTCGAGGGTTCGAGCCCCCGCCGGACCAACACTCAAGTTCTTGAAATTGAAATTGAAATTGAAATTAACGTCGCCTACGAGACGTTAATTTCCCACACACGAGATTACTGCGTGATGTATGTCCTCCCCTGGTGTGGGATGGTGGGTTTGTCGTGAAGGCCGTAAGTTAGATAACTCATCGGGTTAATTACGTCACCTTCGTTAAATAAAGAATATTGTATTGTATTGTATTGTTATTTGGGCGTTGACAACGGTGGTGTCGTCTCCACTACAAAGGAACCAGTCGTCGGATTTTTCTGAAACTGAGATCTTTTTGGCTCTGTGACATTGTCATGGCTTTGATCTTCTCGCTAAGCTCTCGTACTTCGACTTCGTTCTAAATTACGCTAAGAATGGATTCGATATCCCAAACATCTTCGGGGGTGTTTCGAGCGACGTGTACTTGGATTTCAGGGGGAAGTTTAGCCATGATGATAGGAATCAGTAAGCTGCCGTATTGAGTTGATTTCACTCCAAGCGCTCCTCATATGTTAACGTTTAGTCTGCCGTAAAGGTAACGAAGTTGATGTGGTTTGTCCGTTGAACACGTAGAAATCTTCAAGAGCTCGTCCATGTGCGCTGAGATGAGCTGCTGAGGTTTACTGGATTCTCGTTAGTCGGTTTCGCGTCTTCAAATTCATTTGCTCGACATCGTTTTCCAAAATCACGTCAGATTCCTCGATGAGTTTCGTGACGACTCCTTCATTTGCCGCGCTTCGCTCGTAATCGTGGAAGGGCATCCGTATCCGTCATCTTGAATTGGTCGAGATCTTTACGGCCCAACGTTGGGCGCCATTTTATGAACTCGTAACTAAGGTCGTAACTTGGTGTATTCGTTTATTGATCTACCGAAAAACATCTCTGCTAAATAACACGTGTCGTGAAATATATACAAGTAATTTGATCATAATATAAAAACCGGAAAATCAAGATGAAATCATATACGATCTGTACAAACAAAACAAAACTCATGAATAAATGTTACATAACATTCGTGACGCGTGACTGTTCGTGACACCTTCTATAACTCTTTATCAGAGGTACACACCCAAAAAGGTACTCCCCTAAAAGAAACACAAAAAAATATTTTAGAAATAGAAAGAAGGAAATATTTTGGAATAACTCTTCCTGGAGTTCGAGTAAATACTCTGTGAATTAAAGGGAGGCAAAGATCGTTTCCTGAGAGGGCAACTGTTATGGAGTGTTCACTTTCATAAAAAAAAAGCTCATTTCTTAAGGCATGTAACAAATGTTTTGATGCCAGCCGAATAGGACGCTTTTCTCTATTCACTTTCGCCAATACAACAGACATTGTTACAAAATGGCATAGAACATGTCACCCTAGAGAATAATATGTATGCAGTCATTTTGCTAGCGATAGGCTTAGGTCTGTCAAGGGCAGACAGGTGTCAGATGATATCGAGACAATGACTCGTTCGTGATGGAAAACTCTAGGATTTCTACGCTGTTCTCTAATTTGAGTAATCAGTGAAACTGACGAAGTTGAAAACTTAGGGATTAATTGCCGCTCGAATCAGCCTTTCATTAAGCACTGACAGAATGAATCAACGTGTCTCCTTTAGATTAAGGAAACAAGAGCTAACCATGTGCAGTAAGAAAGTGGCCGGAGTGGCGCTGTTCACAGCAGGCCTCATCTTGGTAATACTTGGTGTTGTCTTTGGACTCCTGCTACCAAGTGCAGCTCAGAAGAAAATTGAGGAATCAGTTTGTGTGAACAGCAAGGACAGCCCAGGATATGGACGATGGGTGAGTGTCCTGTGTATTTTACTGATGTTCATCTCTAAGCGCTTGGGCCGGAGAGGAACACGAAACAGCGATTAAAAGGCTTTGAAGTTTCAGTCTTAATTTAGTAATGATACACGATGCACTAAACACAACGCAGCAAGCTGGCACAGTAGAGCGCCATCTGAAGCGTAATTCAGTTACAATTGCTATTTTCTCATATTTTGAGCATACAACAGTTTTGAGCATACAACAGTTACCAAAAGAACTAAGACGCGATTAAAAGGTAAAGACTTACATGTGTCCAAGCTTGTCCGCTAAATGGCACTAAAACTGAAAACTAACGGCAAAGGCACTGAGAAATTTCTTGACTAAATAATTGTCTCTTATGCGTAACATGAAACTTGAAAGCAAACGTCAATTTTGCTACACGTGGTCCTGCACAATTTAAGGTTCGCGTTCGACCCAGACCTCTGTCTGGAAACGAAACAGCGCTGATCCCGAATGCTGGGGTGTAGTTCAATGTTTGACCTGCATTCCGCTAAGTCAAGTCACTCAAATGCTTTTTAAGCTAAGGAACCTTGACTTTTACTGCAACAGAAAGACATCAGTCCTCGTTTACGTAGTGCAAGAGTACCTCACCCACGCTGAAAAACAGATTTGGAAGTAAATTCGAATGTTGAGACTTCAACCGATAAAAAGAAGGCATAAAATCCTCTCCAATATGAAGTGGTGAACGAAGTAATGACTTAAGCTTATGCCTTACTCTTCGTTTGAATATCTGTGTTTCTTTTTTTCGGTTTGAACTTTGAACGAACAACGAGATGAGACCTGGATATTTCATGATGTTTTAGCTATTCACCGGCAAACACTGTGTTTTATCTCTAGGAGGGTCCCAGTCTCTACAGAACGAGAGTCTATTACTGGAATATCACCAACAAGGATGAATTCTTTTACCGGGGAGAAAAACCAAAGGTACAGTAAAACGAAAACAATCACGTGGTGTAAAAGTATTTTGCTACTCCTCATGAATTCAGTAAAACTAATTATTCTGTCCCGTTGTCCCACGATTTTCACATATGTCGTATGAAGACGTGGACATGCTATCCTAATACTCATCATTTTTGGATGAATATAGATCTGGATAAGTTAAGGTATAAGTTCTTGTAGAACATATCTATACTTCACTAACTAGGGTTTAACCAGTTGGTAGCCAATAAAAAGGACAGTGTAATTCAGGGCAATTCAAATCTGACCGACTTGATTGCAGCATTGCTTTTCTTGAATAACTATGGTGGATGTTGCTTTCATAACAAAGGAATAATTTCGCAACATGACCGTTTTCTTTTTAATTTTGAGTTCACCCTGATGTTCACCCACTCCGACTACGAACCTTCATAGCTCAGTAATTAAGAAAGAGAAGCTTGCAACTCTCTTTTCACGTCAGTACAGTTGTAATGATTTTTAAGAGTCATCTTACCCAGGAACTTTGTCCTTTATCTAGCTTCGACAAGCAGGTCCTTATGTCTACAGTATAACATCAAAGCGGGTTGACGTGAAGTTCGAAGACGCAAAAGTTACAAGCAAACCATTCGAGAAGGCTGAATTCAACAAGAAACTTACCAAAGAAGAATGTCCAACATGTGGCGAAGACGATAAGGTTCGTTCTAATTCAAGAGTAATCTTTATAGATAGGAGAAGCAATGTTGTTGTAAAATGGGAACGGGAACTAATTCTATAAAGAACTAGAATAAGAGATATGGTGGACGGTTTTCAAGCATTGCCCTTTACTGATCGTCCCAAGAAAGACTGTTAACTCTCAAGACAACTTTGAATCTTCACAAAACGTTTTTGACAGAAGCAACTAATGCCTAATGCCTAATGCCTAATGCCTTTGGATCACCAGTGACTTTCTACGAACACAGACTCAAATGAACAAGAACTAACTAGGGAAAAATAAACACCGTATGTGCTAGGGAAATATTTTCTTTATTCGTATTCTTGGTGGCAATGGTGATAACGATCATGAAACTTTCATCATTGCTATCGCGATCATGATGATAGCGATAGCAATGATGATATTGATTATAGAGAACGTGGGTGAGATGACAAAAAATGGTAAAAAGTGATTATGATACCAGTAATAATTATAACAATCATAATAATAACGATTTTTTTTTCAAGATAAAAATTAGTGATAATAATTTTGAACGACGTTTCGACCTCGCTGAGGTCATTTTCTACCTGATGAAAAGGAAAATGTTTACATATATGTACTAAATTTAAGACGTGGGAATGATAAAGGCGATAAAATATGTAAACTCTAGGCGTAAAGTGGAAGTGATAAAATTACAAAGGAGACAATACGAATAAATTAATATGAGAGTTGACGAAAGTAAAACTATAAATTATACGAAGATACCGTAAATTATTAAGCTATTTTTATAATATTTCGTATAATTTATAGTTTTACTTTCGTCAACTCTCAGATTAATTTATTCGTATCGTCTCCTTTGTAATTTTATCACTTCCATTTTACGCCTAGCGTTTACATATTTCCATATTTTATCGCCTTTATCATTCCCACGTCTTGAATCTAGTACATATATGTAAAAATTTTCCTTTTCCTCAACTTGAAAATGACCTCAGCGAGGTCGAAACGTCGTTCAAAATTATTATCACTAATTTTTATCTTGGAAAGCTTTTCTAAAAAACTACTTATCAAAATAATAACAATCATAACAATAATAATAATAATAAATATATTAATATTCACTATCGTCATTGCTCAAAATGCAAAAGTCTGTTTTTGTTCTTGTTTTGTTTTGTTTTTTGTTTTGTTTTTGCTTTTTTCTTTTTGTTTTACAGCTGACTGTATTGAATGCAGGCTACCTAGCCCAAGGAAAAGTTCTGAGCCAGGCTATTATACCCCTTATGATGAACATATTGTTTGAAAGACTTAAGAGAGATCGGAATGAAACCTCTATTCTCCGCCAAATGGGACAAGCTGACAATCAGCTAAACTTAACCTACCCATCGAATGCTTTTGGTTCCTGGATCCATTCCCTCCAACATTTTGAGTCTCTACGAAAAACTTACTCTTTGGCAGAGATGAATGGCCTATACGGTGCACTGCTGAACACTTCGAAATTCGGGCCATTCACTAACCCACCACTTCTAGCAAAATGCCTCGGTGGCAATTTGAGTGTACAGTGTGGTCTTGCTATAAACTTGAACTTTCAACCGAAGCAACCTCAAGCTGCAAAATTCATACAAGAAATATTGTGTCCTAATACGAAATTAGCTTGCTTCAACACCTCAAAAAATGGCACATACAAAGCTCTACGTGCGTTCACCCTTGAACTCTCTAAAGCTGGCCTGTCTTTCCTGACGCAACACAACTTTGGGGCCACGACCACTAGAAACCAGAGTGACTTGTCAATTGGATATAAATTACATTTACCCGGAGACCCAGACGGAATACCAATCCCGGGGAGCGTAACCTCACATGCCAATGAAACTGAAGCTAGGAAGAAGGCAACTAGCAGTACATTCCACACCTGTGAATCCACAGGAGACAGATTTGCGTTTGCAGGTAAAGTTTGGAAACAGTCTTTCCGCTCAAACATTTCCACAAAATCGTAAGGTAGAAATCTAATAGGCTGAAATCAACATGATCGTAAGGTAAAAGGTTTTAGACTTTATAGCGAAATATTTGTCTTATTTACGCTTGCCTATCTTAAGCAAAGTTATTAAGCTAGCTTTATGTAAAGTCCTGGTTCTATTCAAGTTTTGAGGTCTTTTCCTGCAATTGTTAACCTATTTAAGAGGAAAATATAGTTTCCAGCCAGTTCTAAAGGGGGTTGAATAACCTTTGTATAGGGTACAATCATTCCGTCGGCCGCCGACAGAATGATTGCACTTTATTACCTGTGTACAACGCAGAAGATATTTTATTTCTATCTGTGACGTCCTGGATTCAAAGCTTCAGTGAGTATCAGTATTATTATGGCTTAAGATAAAACCTATTCCCTTTTAAGGGGCCTCGCTATTTTGAAAAGTTGGAAAGCTATGGCGACCTCAATTAGTACATTACCCGGTCAAACATGTCTCAGGTCAATCAGAGGATTAGCTGCTAATTCGTTATGGCTGAGTAATTTAAAATAAGCCCTTGCCACTGTAATTGGAGTTTTTAGAGATGTATGGCTTGCTTGAGTCGAGTAATCACACTTACTTTCTCTGTGTATTAGCGGTAGGCGGCGAAAGCACAGTTAGCATCAATCTATATCCAAATGCATCAAAAGAACAGCTCAAGGTTCGTGGTTACTACAATCAATTTCCTGGACGGAAAAGTTTGAAAGCTTGCTCTACCAAGTACGCTCCAACGGAAAACAGCTATGAGATTTTCATAACTTATTTCCGTTTTGCCATTCCCGTCAAGTACAAAGAAGACTTCGAAATACACGGGATTCCAATGCACAAATACTCACTGGACGAGGCGGCAGTTGAAGTGAATAACGTGACGGTGTTCACCAAAGGTGTTTTTGATGTCAGCCGGGTTTTGAAAGGTCCTTTCTACGCCAGCCTACCCGGATTTCTTTATGGAGAAGAGTCTCTCCACGTGGATCTGGACCATGATAAACCTACGGTAGACAAGCATGAGTCCCTGGTAAGCTTGTGTAAGGTATCAAGATCACTTTATCCATTGATACATACTCGATGGATTAAACTGATCGTTCGGGTATGAGAAGTCCCGAAATGCTGTCGATCGCAGAGACAGTGACTACCTTTTGGATCGTTCAAAACGGCTATATTGTTGCTCCGCATTCCATCCGTTTATCTCCCTGGTCTATATTGTGATACCGTCCCATATTTTGCACACTCCGTCGACTTAATATGGTACATTTTGCAATATCGTTAGAATAATAGATACTATGTAACGTCGTTAACTTTTTTCTTCTCGCTTACTCTTTTAATCACTACTGCATGAAGAACATCCGTTAAAACCGGCGATAACACAAATCTATATTTCAAATTCAAGTATGTTTCTAACTAATCTTACATACTTCTCATAAAAAAAGGCGCTTCACTTTTTGGTAGGATTTCTCATTCTTTCTGCAAACTAAAAGAAACAATATTTTATAAAAAGAACAAATGAAAGACTTAAGAAAAAAAGCTAAAAGATAACTACGCACGAACCTTGATAATAGTATATTGAAAAATCAATATCGCAGTCGTTAGACTGAATTACACTGATAATGCTTAGCTAGCTCAATTGCATTTTCGTCGGATAATTTGGTTCTATCAATTGAGTTGATGATATAAATTAGCCACCAAAAAGAGTTTCTAAGATAACGTTTCGAGCGTTCGCCCTCTATAGGAGTCGTTTTGACTCTTTATGGTGACCAATTTACACTATCAATTCTTGGGATAAAACCAAATTATTCCAGTATACTCCCTCACTGACGCAGCCCCACAGTTTCTTTAGAAACTTACCCCTCTCTCATTTGTGTTATAATTGATCCGATAGGGATCTTCATGTCGGTTAACGCTGAATACTTATTTACTTTTTCCTAGCTGAGTATTGAGCCGATATCTGGGACAGCCATGCAACTTAAACTTCGTATCCAACTAAATGGAATACTTTCAAGTGACTTGTCAGCTCCCGGCTCAAATATGACATTTGTCGACAAATTGATTCCTATATCGTGGACAGAAATAGAAGCAACCATTGATGCAGACACGGCTAAGGAATACAGCTCACAGGTAAATAGACGTACCAATATAATCTATTCTTTTCGAACACTCAGCGGGCAGGAATCATAAATCTCCGATTGGGTGATTGGGCGCATGTACCCGATCCAGCACAGTCCAAATAATGACACTAAAGTTCATGGATCTGGTTTTTCCCCGGAGCCAGTAGACAAGATAAATGCCCATTACACCACCCTCGCCTCCTGACCAACATACTGAACCACCTAACAGGAAACATTTCTAAAGCTTGTTGACATGACTGAAAAAAATCATGATTACTCAAACAAAACACAAAAATACATTTCTTAAATGACTATTTTCACCCTTTCCCTTTTGCAAATAAGATAGAGATAGGAAGAATCGCCAATCTCCGTTTTAAATTGTTATCTAAATGTTGACCTTCTTCATCGTTAACGAAGGCAATTCATACTGGTGCTGGATTTGTACTCGTGCAAATTTACGAAAAAAAACCTCAACAGATGGAGTTAGCGTCGTGGTCGACTAACTCAAATACGTCATTGTATTCGCTAATCTGATTTTTCCCAGTTTTCTCGAGTTCAATTCATTTTCATGCTTTGCAACAAGGCAACTAGTTTGTTATCCTCGGGTCGAAATTTTAATGAATTTACGTCCTTTTTACTGAATTACTTCTCTATCTACTATGCTTTAAATGTATTCTATTAATACAAGGGTAAGAGTTATATCGAAAATGCACAGAATCCATCTAAAAATTGGCTTAATTGCTCGGTATAAGGAATACACTGAATATGAGATAGAACTTCGTTCAAGCCTATTTGTTTAATTTTCTTTCACGGCGTAATTAACAATTTCAGTTTGTTTGTGTACCAAGCTGTGATGAACATTATTCTAGGAGAATTCTATCTTTTCTCTGTCATTACAGGTGTTCGGAGGCCTGCGAATGTCATGTGGTTTACTCGTGTCTTTGCCTGTGATTGGTGGGATCCTTGTCATTGTGGGTGTGATTTTAATTGTCTTGGCTGTCAAGAAACCTGGCTCTGTGACTGTAGCGTAAGCTTTCCGTTTGAGGAATGCAAATTAATAGTGTAAGAACTTCACATGTAATATTCACACAGGACAGTTCTCTCCAAGTTAACTTATAAGCTACCATGAAATTTTACTGTTACTCGACACATCTTTTATTTTCTAATACTTTTACGACTGGGCCGTTAAAAGCACATTTCAAAATAAACAAGCAACTTTCTCTTAAGTATATATTGCATTTGTAGCACCAAGTACTACAATTTTTATCTCAAGAGTCTAATTTGACAAACCAAATATGAGAAGGTGCTAAGAGTATTACTTTCTCATCGTTATGTTCCGTCTAACGCCAAATGCGGCGATCAATTCGAAGCTTCAACATCCCCCCTTTGGCAACTCACGAGCAATGTGAACCTTGCCTGGCCGGGGTGGGGAATCTGAACTGGAAGTTTCAAGTCTTTCCAGTAAAATATAAGTGTTATATCTTTTAATATGGAAGTGTTTAAGGTAAATAGTTCACTTTTGCAAGCGAATGGCTTAGAAGAAAAGGTCTACAAGGTCTTGGTTTTAAAGCTTTTTCAAAGTTTAGAAAGTGACGATTGCTGATTATGGCCCCGGGGGGAGAAGCAAGTATTTGAACAAACTAACTTTCAATTTTCAAAAGTTCAAATGCCAGGGGGGTGTAGATATAGATCACAGCCCTTTTTTGCATCATTAGACGCCGCGAGGGAAAGTTCAAGTATGGGTATGAGAAAACGATGTTTCGACGGTTATCATGTAGAAGGCGCATTTTTGTCTTAAAAATCCGGGAAAAAAAGCGGGAAACTGACTAAAAAAAGTTTGTTTATGACGATAATGAAAAGAGAAGCTGGATATTTATATAAGAAAACGTAGAATTTTCATCCTACTAGTTTTGACTCGTTTTAACTCAGAACTTTTTTCATAAAATATTACTACTTAAATTAAAAATAAAGTGTGTTATTTCCAAACCATAATGGATTTGTATTTTTTATAGCAATGCACGTTGGTAAACGGTCAAGTTTTTTGACAGTTTAGATGTGCAACTGATCCAGCTGATTCAAAAGAAATTAAGGTAACAGAGGCACACTTGGGGCATTGGTTGAAATACGCTAATCTAACCGAACTTATTTTGAGTACCAATCAGAAATAAAAGTTTGTTTCCCCCACCCAGACGGCTAAAATGTGAATATTCGCATTCGGAATACTTTGTCTCTACCTACTAAAGGTCATTTAATCGACAAAACAAGAAGAATATCGCCAAGCGAGAGAAGATGTATTCTTTCCAAGGGTAGCTTTGGTGAGTTGACCAGGAGCCTTCCTATTAGTCACCTTTTGTTACCTTGGTATGCTCTAAAATGATTGATAATCCAGTTTTGAACCTGAGGTTTTTCCAACGTCGTCAGCAGGGGTTTAAGAAGGTCTTGGAGCTCAAATCCGAGTTGTTTTTCCGAACGAGAAAACGAAAATTATATACGCTCTCACGAATTTCTTACTCGAACCTTCAGAACTGAAATTCAGAACTGTAAATTAAAGGGCAGGCATCTCACAATAACCCTAAAAAATGATGGCTTACCTTTTGCCTCTGTTGCGTTATGCATTTGTCAAGTTAGTATGAATTTAATCACAAAAAAGGGAATTAAGAAAAAAAGGGGAAATATTTGCTTCTTCACTGAAGTTTTGGACATCTTAGAAGCTGAGTTTTTTATATAAAAAACTGGGATTTGTAACATTTTAAAATTAAGTCACAATTTTTAGTTTGGCGGTGCATCAAAATACTTAATGAAAAAAAGTGAGCTTTGTTTTCCCGCTTGTTAGATGCTCCCCTCGGCTTCGCCTCGGACTGACCAATCACAAAATACCTGTTGAACACATTTTGCATAACTGTACAGACAGCCCTGCGGCCGAAAGTAGGAAAATGAAAAACAAATGAAATGAAATATGAGGCATACTATTTCAGGTAAAAGCCTTTTGAAGAGTTCACTGACTGCGCAAATGCTTCTGCCTTAATTTGAGCTGTGGTCATTAATGAGTGCACAATTGGACAAATCTCGTAGAGAGCGGTAAGACCGTGATGATAATTTTACTTTACCGCACTACCGTCGACCATTTGAGATATATTTAAATAAAAAACCTCAGCTTACTAGTCAGAATTCCCATCATGTAGCTTCCTGATTTCAGTACGATGAGGTGGCAAAAAGTATTACTGATTCCCACGGACAGGATGCTAGTCCATCGCAAGGTTTCTCTTCAGCACGTGGATTATCGTGCATCTTGAACTCGGAAGCAAATGAGCTTAGAATTGATGCTCTACCTTATGACTCTTTTGTCTTTTATGATTCTCCAGTTATTATAAATTTTCACGATAAAAAAAGGAATTTTGGAAAGGTGTTTTCCTTATTTTCTCCAAACGTTTTTCACGTGTGTGATACTTCGATTTTTTTCATTTGCGGTTGGAATTTTTAAAATTAAGTTGTAACGTGACATCCAAATAAAATTTTCATATTCTCGAGCTGGATGATATAACAGAACGCATATTGACTGGCCCCAAGGAGGCAGTGAGTTCTGTTTTCCATCGACCCTTCCTGTTCCCTTAGGTTTCGCCTGAGGTACATTGAGAGTCTTGGGAAACAAAGCGCACTGTTTTAATGGCGCTGCGCGTTTG